GAAATGGGTCTAAAAACCTGAGTTGGCCGAAAGAAAACGAAATGTAATTTTCAGTATTTTTAGCGATCAACTTGATTGATTTCCCGTAAAATTTGTGAGCGCCTTGCATGATTAAATGTGCGTCATATTTTTCTAAATTATGTAAAATCACCGGAATGGGTGTTTGATTGACCACTATTCTTAACTTGAGATTACAACTGGCGTGCGCTGGGCCTCGGTACTTCCCCGTCACGTGACAATGATCCCTAACCTTTCTAAAATTATTGATGGGCTTTTTGCAATCTAAACATACCCATTCTCTTAACCCAGCTTCATTTTTATGACAGAAATCAATTTTGTCAGCTTTTGTTTTTGGTTCATTTGGAATGTCACACTGGCATTGAGATTCTTCCGCTCGGTGATGCTCGCTACGCTCGTTGCTCCGCTCGCTTCGCTCGTTCGCTTTCGCTCGATCTGTCAACTTTTCGCAGATCCAACAGCTATTACATTTTTCGTAGAATTTTTGTAACTCGGGTGACCAGATCAACTTCGCTTTGTTTTTAAACGTTTCGTTGATCTTCTTTGTTTCCTGAGAAAGTGACCGTATAAAATTAACAGCCGCGTCTTGACCCCTGTAATTCTTTTGGCTAGTGCAAACTCCATCGCATCTGACGACCGCGTATGAGTATCCGCAAGGCTTGTGAATCTGTGTTTTGACCGTGTTTGTATCGCTCGCTGTCAGTGGTAATTTTTCTAAAACAGACTCAAAATCGGCGTAAATAACAAAAGGCGCGTCTTGTTTATTTTTGTAATTTTTGAACTTGAGTACATTCTCGCCTTTGGCCGGCAACTCGACCGTACATGTGGGAACGTTTAAGCCTTGACAATCTTCTTTGTGTCTGATTAACTTTCCTTCCGTTTGGAAATGCGACATGCAATTAAAACACCAGTGTTTTTGGCCGTTGTGATGATCGATATCACTCGTCAACCGAGAAAAGTTTTTAATCCAACAATAGTTATTTTCGTCATCTCGGGTAAAATAAAGTAAATTGATCGGTTCTTCTGGACGCTTGCTTTTGTAAAGAATGTAAAGACCGTCTTTTTTGATGTAACCAAACACATTGAGCGCCAAGTTATTTTGCGATTCGATACGTGGGATTTGTGAAACCGGTGTTGGAAAGCTTATGTTTGTAAAATTTAAACCATCTGATTCTGACCTGTAAGTCGATGTTCGCTCGTCATGTATTTTATATTTTGGATTAACTTCAATTTTGCTTTTGACGTTGTCAGAATATAATTTTAAAGCTGCCCGCAATGCCCATCGGATACATTCTTGATCTTTATTTTCGACATTTATGATTGCTTTTTTGTCTAACAGTTCCTTAGGCAACTGAATGTAAGAAGAACCCACTGGATTATATTTAACCACGTTGATGTAGAAAGCGACGACTTTGTCAAAGATCCAACCCGAGCCTTTTTGTGTATGAGCCTCCACCTCTTTTATTTGTTTTTCCCTCTGGTCAGTGAGTGCATTTTTAACGTCGGTTTTATTTGCGACTGCATCGTTGTCGCTCGGAAAGGGGAATACGCCAAATTCATTTTTTTCGGGTTTTTCCAATCTAAACTGAACTTTGATATTCGTTTGCAATTTGTACGAACCAATTTCTTTTAGTTCTTCCAAAGCGTTTTTCTCGATGAAAGTTTTGTTAAAATCAAAAAATTGTATCAAATCGTATTCAAAGAAACGACTCGGATGTACCAATTCCAAATTGCGAAAATTACCCTGAAAGCGCCTGACGTTTCTAATGTCGACTTCCGCAATTTCCTTGGGCCGAGTGTAAGCTTAAATCGCTTCAATAAAGTCCTGTTTGACATATCTGTCTTTGTTTGCAAAAGGAATATTATCATATTTTTGAACCGTTTTCAACAGCTGCCGATATGACTGACGCGGGAGGTACCTAAATTGTTTTTGATCTGCCCGTATGGCTTCAATGAGCTCAGGTTTAGTCTGAGATTTACGGGTTTTGGTTGTTTTTGGTGCCGGTAATGGAATATTATATCGCTTGACAAAATCTTCTAAAAACGCCTTCTTAAATCGATTAAAGTTCGTTAGTAGAGGTCGGTGTTGTGGGTTGCTCATGTCTCTATTTATATGTAGGTCTCTAAAATTTTTATCATTTTGTCTGACGACTTGACTTGACATGTTTTTTTATATTGTTATTTTTATATATGGGCCATTTATTTAAGGCGGTTGTAAACATAGCGTGTTTTGCTTTGAACAGAGTCATGCTTTAAGTTGAGGTCACAGTTCCGGTCGACGGGAAGTCCCTTTTTTGTTTGTGAGTAATTGCAGTGGTGCGATCGGTGCTAGTCACGAGTTGTTTACAAAAACGTGAGCCGGGGTCAAAAGGTCAAGGTCAGTGAAGTGGAAATCCCCAGCGCGTGTGGGTGAAAGGGGGTTAGCGTCGAGTCACGAGTTGTTTACAGGAAAAGTGCGCCTGGGTCAAAAGGTGAGTGGGAATCCCCGGTGAGTGTGGTGGGTAAAAGGGGGTTAAAAGGGCGTGTGGTCCAGAACTCTCCTATCCCTACTACTAAACTAATGCAGCCATTGCCCAGTTGTCTGAATGAATCAATTCTTTTACCGAAAATCAATTCACTTGGTATGCTACTTAGTATTCACGAACAAGAAACCATCTTACGGAAACCTCAGAAAAAATGTATGGACACTTTCTGACGAAAGGCAACTGATGACAGCCATCATAATATAGACCAAAGTTTTGATTTCAATTTAAATCAGTACCTTTTCCACACACTTCTCTAGCCAGTGATACATTCGTCACCAGAGTAAGATTTACATCACTAGGATAATGGCAGTATACCTTAATTAATGGATCTTGACGAGTTGTGATATAAAATATTACCGAGAATTTGATTGTATAAAAATTCTGTATATTGGAATCGACACGCATTAAAAGATTTGGTTCATGAAAAGATCTGACTGTAACCCACAGGCCTAAATAAAAAGGCTGACCTTTCACAGCCTCTCCCACAAGAAATCTCAAAGAAACAAATGAAGTAACATAATTTTCCAAATTCATTAACAAGATAAACTTTTAACTTAGATAACACTTTAAAAAAATGATGAAACCATAGGACAGACAACCAGTAACAAATAAGAATGTTACATATAATTTCATATTGATTTCTTTGATCAGTAACAAATGACTAATTGTACATACTATAAAGCTGCAGGATTGTTACACATAATTTCTCATTGATTTTCCTCACCAGTAACAAATTACTGATTGTGAAATACAATAAAGCTACCGGATTGTTACAGATAATTTCTCATCGAGTTTCCTCACTGGTAACAAATAACTGATTGTGAAATACAATCAGTACAAGCTACTGGATTGTTACACATAATACTTTGTGATCCCACAGGATTTTTTTACAATAAGACAGGCCATAACCAGGAGGGATCACAGAAATATTTTTATAAATCCCGATTTTCCCGAGTTTCCAGTTCTGGGTATTTCTTTCACAAAAAGCCCCAAATTGCGGGCCTATTTTGGATAGAGGCAGGCGGCTACATTCAGAAATGAGCGCTTAGTTTTACTACTATTTTGGGAGTATCTTCGTTGAAAGGCGAATAAAAAAAAACGTGGCTAACCCCCACGAAAATGAAACGAAAAGTGTTCTTCTGGCCATAATCTTGAATTTCCAGTAAAAAACAACAACATCAACAAAAACAAAAAACGGAGGCCAACCTCTTCACGAGAGTCAACAGGCGGCGCGATTTCAGTTTGATTTTGCTCTGTTTTCTATGGGCACGTATTTGGTGTAGTGCAACTGTAAGCCCCCCCCCTTACGCAAAACGCGTCCCAGCAATGCATAATCTTGAACAAAATAGAGGGCGCCCTTTCGTTCATCGCTCTTGGAAAGGTCTTGGGGGGTGCACCACTACAAATGAATTCCCATAGACAGCAATGATAAATCCCCACACTTCGCAATTATTAAAAATACAACTCTCACAGGTGTCCAGGCTTCACAGAAATACGATGATCGACATGTCCCCTTTCATTTTCCTTTCAATTTTCGGGGGCTTGACCAATGAATTTTGAGAAATTTTCACCAAAGGCAGACCACCCCTAGAATGAAGAAAATTTCCTGCCCAGAAAAGTAGCCATTTTGAAAAACCATCGCCCTCTGCAAAACGGCAAAATAGTGCCATTTTTGGACCTGACCGCATCCAAATTGCTCTGAATTTGAAGGGGTTCAGTGCCATATTTCTCCAATTCCCCAATTTCATGGCTCTCAGGACTCTCTAATATAGAGTATTTTTTCAGTGTATAACTTTTAGTAATGAGCTCGGTGGACATATTTAGGGCCTTCTTGCGAGGGTGCACCCTTGGGAAACCTGTATGCTTTTTCTTTCCCGTATCACATGTTCACTACAGCCCATAACGGGATCCCAATACGACGCTTTTAGCGTTTGAAAACGGGGTGGTCCACTTTTGGAGCATGACAGTAATTTTGCCAGTGGGAATTTGAAGTTTTTAGTTGTCCACTTTTGACGCGCGACGAAGAGTTGTTAAAGTAAAATCCAAATTTCTCCTAGCGGAAATTGCGTTTTTTTAAAAATGCTATAGGCAAAGTAAAAAATCCCGAACAGAATATGAGAAAATGAGGTTGTCCACTTTTGACGCTCTGTAATGCATGACAACGGTCCAATCATATCACATGGTTTCATGAACCAATCAGAGGGCATGAACGTGGAAATTTTTCTGCGTTCATTCAGAACTGAATCTAATTTCCACAAGGTGTATCCGCAAACCCCCTATACCTACTGCACTGAATCTGCTTTGCTCTGAAGAAAGAAGGTACTCAGTCACCGAAAGGTCGGCAATTAGCCTACGTATGAGCACTGGTTTTATATTATATTCTTGTCAATAATCCAATCAGAGTGCGTTTTGTTTTCTGGGCCAATAGCGAAAAATGTGGTGGTACGGGGGGGAAAAATCGCTACCGGTACCCGGGACAGGAAACCAGTTTAATCATACCCTAGCAACACTGCCCAAACAAGATGTCCGTCGCCGGCGCCTTTTAATGCAGACGTGACATGTGTGCGTGTGGACCGTTGACGGTGATAATTTGTAAGCTGTGGGCTTAGGTGAGATGAAACCTTGACTTTGAGAATTCAATGTGGACGAAACCAGTAAAACTGAAAGAAAAAATCTGTCTGGATCAAACTGAAGGTAGGCCTAACTTCTGAAAAAAATTACCTGCTCTACATTGTCTGCTCCAGCATGTCCAGTGAAATTTAGGCCCGAGTCTGCAAACCGTTCTAGGCCTATCCAATTTTGGGTCAGCTTGTACATGTCGTCCCTGATCAACTCGGTTTGGAGTCAACTCAGACCCGCCGGCGAACCAACTTGGGGTCCAGACAACTCGACTGTTTGCCAACCCCACTTCGGACAGCTCAACTGTTGAGACTACTTGACCGTTGAGACAACTCGACCGTTTGTCAAGTCGTCCGTTAGGACAAATTGACTTTGACACAGAAACAGCTCGACCAGTGAGAACTCTACACGTAATACAGTTGTTTTCCCAGTTCCAGATTGCAAAAATTATTCAGTCAGATTGCAGCTACAAAAAATTCTCAAATTCCAGTGAAATATGACCTGTCACCATCCACCTTGTGTGCTAGAGATGCTACTAAATGAATTTCAAATTTTAAACTTTTGATTCGGATATACAGGATCGACGAAAGTGGCAACACTTTTCGGAAAGTAACCACGCGGGCGGCAAATCCATTTTCAGCCAGAACCATTGTAAAAAGTTTATTTTCTAATGAAAAATTTCTTAATTTAGAGAAAATCAGTTCGAAAATAAGAATTCTAATGAATATTTTAAAAAGTGAATCTTGAGTAAACTTTTTCACCTGCACAGCGCGAGCCATCAACGATACTACCTCGTGCCGCACAGTTGGCAAACTCATTATGTCATGTAAATTTCTGCAATGTCCGTAAAGTAAGATGAGTTCACAACGTACATATTGCATGCACGCACTTAATGCGTGATCCAAAACTAGGAAACAAAATGGTTTTCGGCCAGTTTTAATAAAATTCAACTCTGAAAGTCATTTTGAGTAAACAGACATTAGATGCAAAGGCTTATTATTGCTGAGTATAAGAAAGTATTTGGGATCACTCGTAGTGAATGACATATCACCCTGCAACTCTTTGTCAATTTTTGTCCACTACCATGATTTTTAACAAACTGTTCACAAATGTCGAAGTGCGAATCAGAAGTCTGGCCAAAATTTCTTTTCTAGAAATTTTCCGAGAACAAGTTTTGTTCAACAGAAAGCTAACATTCACCTTTTAACCAGAATCTGAGAATGTAGAACTGAAGGACAACACAAAGGAGGTAGGTTATTTTTCAAGCAATCCAAAACTATGTATATGTACATGGCAGGGTCAGCGAGGGTGCAAGATCCGTTGATCGTGCAAAGATTGGCTTACTGCGGCAACCATTTTTATAATAACTCAGAAATTAGGCCTGTCTATCTACTACGTGAAATTCCATCCCATTATTAAGGCATTATTCACACCATGGCCTCAGCAGATGATTGGGCTGAGCGGACAGTGTCCCAACCGATGACTTGTCTCAACGGTCGATTTGTCCAAAGTCGAGTTGGCGAACCCTCGAATTGTCCAGACCCCATGTGGCAGAACATCATTATTATTATTGTTTATTTGACCATCACAAGGACAGACAAAGCAAAATTGAACAAAAAGTGTACAAAAAACTACAAAACACACTTGTAAGTAAATATAAGCAGTAGCAGGGACCGGAGAAGAAAATCGGAATATATACATGTAACAAGACAAATAACAGTTATGTGGGTCAGGGACTGAAAAAGTAGAATAAACTACTATTACCCGTGGGTATGCAGCCCCGCACATAATGTTCATAAGACAAATTATACAGAACATCTTCTAACTCCTCAATGCTAATGCTGAATTTTCCAAGATTTGTTCAGTGTCCACTATTTGAATACCAGAGGTATTATGTATATAGCTACTGGAGACTATTAGGGGATCGTATACCTATACAACCCTTATCCTTGGTACCTATACAATCCTTTTTAAAACCTTCAAAACCTGTTTCAGCTACTTTATTCCATTTCAGCTGTTTCATTGCCAGATTCTTATGGGGCAAGCATGGGCAAACTGATACTTAACCAAACTGGAACTCTGTAAGCTTTTTTACTTGTGTAACGGCAGGTTCCTCAAAATATGGATCATTAGACAATGTTCAACTTTGAGGGTTCATTTTTTCTGAAGTGAACAGCAGTGAATTAATTCCTAATGTCTGATGAAATGAGGGAAGTCATGGCTGATATCTGGAACAATGATGACAGTGCCTACATGTATCTCTTAACTTAATCGGAGTTGATTAATTAAAGTCTCGGACGTCAGCATTGTTGATGGATGTGACAACCTGTTGAAATCCTAGCCAAATAAAAGTTACTGGGAAGGAATAATTCCTGCAGTTATTTTACACAGATTTATATGTGGTGAAAGATGATAATATTTACACATATTAAAACCATAATCATGAAATCCTATACTCGTACTTGTACTCGGACGTCCAAGTACTCGTACTCGAACTACAGTTCTTGTACTCGAGCTGCAAAATACTTGGAACTCGACATCTAAAAATTGTACTCGAGCATCAAAGTACTCGCACTCGATAAAAAAAATCCTTTAAGTTAACTTACCACGGCTATTAAAATAAGGTACAAAAATATCGACTCCAATGACCCGATATTCGATACGGTTCTGACAAAGTGAAGGCCGAACGTGGGACCATTAACATATACGACCCATTCGCCGTCTGTGCGCGTACTTAACCAGTCACGTACGCAAATTATATTGTGGTACTCCAGAATGGTCCCGTGATTTACTTGGGCATTGGCAGTCTGGTTCCTGGAGTCAAAAATTCTAACAACGCACCCAGCATACAGAAAATCACAGGCATGTGAACAATTGAGTCTGGAAAATAGACTTCGCCGCGCCATGCACATTGTGTCAACTGCTGCAACGCAGTGTAGTGACTGTGACATTGCTAGCCAGATCACTTGTTCTTGTAGCCATGTCATCTGTATTTGGTCTTTCTTTTACACAGTGGCCGGTCTTAGCGTCTCTAAATTAAGATAAAACTACTTTAAAACTAATTAGAAGTACTTGTACTTGTACTCGGAATTAGAAGTACTTGTACTCGTACTCGGAAGTGCAAGTACTTGTACTCGGAAACCAGTACTTATACTTGGCTGGCAAAGTGCTCGCTCTGTCTTTGTACTCGGCAGTCAAAGTTCTCGGCAGTACTTGATACTCGGAAAAAAGTACTCGACTACAACACTGGCTGTTTGACCTTTGACATCAACCCAGATAGTGCGCCCTCTTTTTCATTCGATATTCATGAGCCCCTCCACGGAATTGTGATGCTCCATGATTTTTCTCTTCATACCAAGGTCTCTTAAAAGAAAATCTATCATACTGAATGCTGGACACAAAAAAATGACGTCCAAGACATAAAATACGATTAATGATGAAAATTTTATGCTCAGAGTTGTTAATTTTAATTTAATTTTTAGCGGGGATATCTCCAAAATAAGTGGTAAAATGAACATAGCTCATGGAATTTTCAAGCACTACATGTGACATCGTTTTTGGCATTCTTAAACGTCGTGTATTTTCTGTCAAAATTCTCGAATGTCATGAAAAATCTGTCAAATATGACGTTCCCAACAAACACATTATATGTACATCTTTGATGCAGCCAGACTTGAAGATTATTTTCTGTGGGTGAAAGGTATAAAACCTGGCAGATACATGTATGCCGATATTCGCCTCGACTAGAAGTACCCCTTCAACAGTTGAACAGAGCCAGGTGATCCCCAGTACTCAATCGGTGGCCATCTTGTTTGGTGCAAAAAGTCCAACATACATGTATAACTGTATGCAGCTCACCTATTTTTTACCGCCACAACGGCCAAGATAAACGCCTGTTGATTATGATGACCAAACCCTGTTACGGCATAAACCCGCTGTATAAATACGGTACTAGAAACAAAACCTCTAAAAATATAACGGGCCGTCAAATATGCTACCAAATAGAGCAACCTACCATGAACATACTCGATCACATAAATTTAGCCGTTTACAGATTCATCGAATCTCAAGCCACCATCGAGTCTAACATTCCGTCTAATACCATAAACGCCTACAAAGCCAGTTGCGACATTGATGATTTGAACAAGATGGAATACGTAGTTTAAACCACCTTACACGGCCAAGCACTGAATGTATGTTAAAATAGACCCCTATGCCTCTCTATTTGATCATCGAAAAAGGCCCATTGACGAGACAGATATCGAGAAATTTATGAATAAGAGATGTGATGCGCAATCTTTTATTTGTCCAAAAGACGTACATGTATACTACGGTACTCACAGTTCACTGTCGTGCAGTGCCAGTGTTAGGTATAAATTATCGGCGACTATGTTGAAAATTAGAAATGACGGTCTTGTTTTAGATAAATCTGTGGTACAAGCATTTAGTGGATTTGGTTGTTCTGAATCTGAATCCGAAAATGAATTTTAGATCTGAAGCTCTGACAAAAAAAATGAGATTTTTTTAAAAACCTTATATACATTCTTGTAAAATTAGAGATGAAAAACCAAGTGTGAAAAAAACAGTTCAAGAACTACTTCCAAAAAGATTAACAGACAGAAATTTTGATTGTCACTTTTGCAAAAACATAAAAGCGTGCAGTAACGTAATAGATGCTCGCGATTGTGATAACTGTCTTAACACAAGGTGTATTTATTCATGCCAGGACTGCAGGCATTGCACACATTTCGCCAGATGTACCATTTTTTTGAATGTGAATCTTGTCAGGAATGCAATGGTTGTTTTGATTATCGAGATTGTGAAAGTTAATTATGCCAAATGACCCCATGCCTGAAATAGAAAACGAATTGGACATTAAGTTGAGAAAAATAGGCTTGATGATTGACCGAACCATACAATACATAAGCTTATCTCAAGAAGCCGAAATTAGAGCCAAAATGGAATCGGGAGAAGAATTCAAACCTGAAACCGAAGAATCTGAAAAAGACGAAAAATTTGATGAAAACGAAGGAATAGTTTTTCGATCTAGCTCGACAGGAGGGCAAATTCCAGAT